GCCTTGTAGAATGAATGGGTTCTTACATGGGGATTTCCTTTTATTTTACCCCATATCAGTACAACTTTGTAATGTGGGTTGGGTTGGGTTGAAAGGGAAGGGCTCCTAACCACCATAGAATCTTCATGGCTAAAGATGGGTTTGAATTTGACTTCCCCTGGTTAAAGAATAACACTTTGACTTCTATGTCACATTTAACTGTCTTATACTGAGTCAGGCCACAAATATATCCAGTCCCTACTGAGTGTTGAAACAGTGGAAGCTCTTTTTTCTCAAGCCCAGCTATAAAGAGCCTAATCATCCCTTCTGTTTGAGATTAAAACCTAGCAAAAATGTCTGCATGCTTACTTATCGACAATTCTTATTTATAAGCAGTCTGCAAGTGGCTGAAGTAATGCGTGATACCAGAGGAAAAAGAGGAAGACATAATCCAGACCATGCAGAGAGATATTGTGATGTGAGCTTGCCAGCTCATCCTTTCTTGATCTTGAAAATGGGGAAATTAGCTGGTCTGGAGGGGATTACACTTCCTCTATAGCAGGAACCTAGTCTAACGGTATTTCTAAAATCAATACTTCCAACATAGTATTCTGGGTTATCCATTACATTTGATGCCTCTTTTTTGCACCACAATGACTTCTACTTTAGTTCTGTGACTGCACTGTAGTATCATCCCACAAACCCTTTTTGCAAAATGAAAAGGCTGGTTGTAGAAAAAACTGGTTCTGAGAATTAAATCCATTGTCTGTAGTTCGCATTACGTTACATTACCACCCAATAGTTTTCTCAGCATAGGGAATTCACAAACTGCCTATAGTCTCATAGCTAGAATTCCTATATTCTCTGAAGTACGCATGAACACTTTTTGTGGATAGACAGATTCCTGGATTAAGGCAAATGACTACCAAAGTGACAGATGTGCTTTGCTTGGAACAGAACTGCTGAAGTGAGCAGCAGTAAAGCTGTAAAGCCAAATATAATGTTGTGTGCCAATTTACTTAAGCAAAAGTAGAAGAAATACTGTTTGTGGCTAGAACAAAAATTACCTTAAAATATAATTACATTAATGGCAGGTTTATACAGACTCAGCAATATTGTTTTATGTAATAACATTTTTTACTAAAACAAGCATAATGAAAATTTATCTTCAATAGTGAACCACAAGACAAAAAATGGGAAAAGGAAAAAAAACATAGTTATGAAGTAAAATTTTAATACATGCTTCCTTTTTCAAATGAAATATTTCTAGTGCTCACAATTTTTTTCCTTGGCATTATAACTGCAAAGGCAGTTATATACATACTGATTTTTGTGTCTCTTTCAATAATTATTTAATTACTACGGCCTATAACAATTCAGCTCTACCTAAGAGGATACTTGAAATGCTTCCTATCTTCCAAGATCATTTAAGGGGTATTCACTTTCTAGGTTGCCCTAATGGAACAGAGAGATAGTTAAAAGTGCCAGTTATCTGAATGAATGTCTTTGGATAATTCTATTAAACTATTATTGGCAGAACTACAATGTCCTTTGTGGGGGCAAAATGTAGAGGTCTCTGAAAACTCTTGCATGTGCTCAAAATCAGAAAGAAAGAATGTAGTAAGCCTGGCTAAGTCTTTCTGGCTGGTGAAAAATCCTTGAGCTAGGATTATTTTCTACAATACAACAATGCTGTTTTGTTCACATTATATAACCCTAGTTAAGTTAGTTAAATTACTCAATTAGAGTAAATTTTAAAAAACTACAACTAAAACAACTTTGTGCCTGCCCCAATCTGGTGCCATCCAAATAAGTAGACTTCGACTTTTAGAATATCCCAGCAATTATGGCCATTGCTGCAAATTCTGGAGCTTCAAATCTACAGATTTGCAGGATGACAAAATTGGGGAAGATTCACCTAAGCCAATGATTTTTAAAATTTTTCTCTCAGGAACCCCTTCCCACTTAAAAACAAGTCATGGAAGAACATAAAAGAGCTTTTGTTTTGATGAGCTACATTTATCAATATTTGCCACATTAAAAATTAAAATTGATGCATTCACTACTGCTATTGCTTCTCGAAATTGTTTGATGGGATTTTAATATTGTATTATTTTAACCAACTAGGAGTCAGAAGACATAATGAAAAGTCCTTCATCTCACAACACATGGACAGACTCAACCATAGTTTTCACTTGGGATCTGTGAACATCCTAGACCAAGCTAAATACAAAAAAGCTATGGAATTACTGGAAACATGGCATTCAGGTAAATCAGCCATTAATAGACACATAGAAATAGATGCATTTACATATCATTCAAAAGAGATAATAACAAAGCTAAGAAGGAAACAAAAAGACCAGAAGCAGTCTATACCCAAATAAGCAGAAGAACAAATAAGCAGAAAACAATACCCTAATCAAGGAACTACTGGTACCTAGGAGAAAAACACACACCCCACCAACACTGGGAAAATAAGTTACTATACATACAGGGAACAAACCCCACACTCACTAACACTGATGCTGCTGCCTAGTTGGGTAATGAAACATCTGCAAGAAAACAACAACTCAGAGAACACAAAGGCTCCACAGTTCAACCCTGAGCTATATATATTTTCTTCTATGGTTAAATTACTGTGAAAACTCAGTTTTTCAGAATGTATAATACAATAAAAATACAATGACTACTGTATACAAAAGACATATGATAAGTGATTTTGTACTGAATAGATTTCCACTGTATGAAATAATAAATGGCTGAGCTATCTGAAGAAAAAATTGCCCTGTGTATCTTTCTTAAAACTAGTTATTCTTTTGTAATACATAAATCTTCTTAGGCAGGACATTCTACCATCTGTTTGCTTGTTGGTGATGTTTGCAGATCTAGGAGCCAGAGAAGTTAGGGTAAAAAATTACTGCTGCTAAGCAGAAAGCTAGAATTTATAGCGTACTTTCAATGCTCAAAAGTAATTTTTTCAGCCAGGCAGACAAAATAGGTAACTACATAACCCAAACACAGTAAGACCTAGGACAGCTTTGGTGAGGAGTAAGCAGATAATTATCATTTGCTCAACAGACTTTTCCTTTTTCAAACTGGCGTAAAAGTGTGTTCCTTGTGCCTAGTATTAAAAGAAGCAATTTTATTTTATATTAAAAAACCTTTTCATGTATGATTAAAAGTTTTCATTCCTCTCCTTATCTTTGTTGTAAACACAACATAAAACCATTATAAATAAGACCAGTGGGAATACCTCTGTTAAATAGTTGCCTAGAGGGTAAAAAAAATAAAAAAAAGCAGGCATAATGAGGCCATAGGCCAATAGTGGGTATTTTCAGCTCCCAGAAAAATACTGCAGAAAACCAGAAATATGCAAACAAAAACTTTAAAAGGTTATGAGAAGAGAAAAGAAGGAGGATGAAGTACAAATGTGCCTCGCCTGCCTATTTGTTGGGAAAATATTCCATACAGTTCTAATTCTTGTTTAGATGTGGCTAATGTTAGTTTGTACATACTTGCTTTAAGCAACAGGTAAATCATCTGGAATGCAAGGGAAAGATGAACCACGAAGACTATTTAATAGGCTGTAAAATGTGGAATTCAGAGAAATCACTATAAAGAGCAAGGTAGAGCCAATCAGACTATTATATTTTTAGTATCAGGATGCTTACATGTCTTGATCTTCTATCTTTAGGAACCTAGGAAAAGGCAAGAGATTTAAACCCCTCCAAGCATCACTCAGAGGTGGAACTAATTGCAAAGACTTGTAGGAATAGTTTAGCTGCTCATCTTGTCCTGTGCTCTAAAGAGCACAGAGAGGCAAAAACTACTGATATTAACTGATCTATTATGCAAAGTGGTAAAGGAACAAGCATTTGAAAAAATAAACCTTTTTTCACCCATGCGACGGGCTTCTCTCCTGAGTAGGCAGTGAAATGAAAAATGATATTGTCTCAATCAAAGTAAAGCAACAGATGCTGCTGACAATAACAGGTGAAGGTTTGGGTTGGTTTTTTTTTGGCCACTGTGGTCCCTTTATCACTTTCAGGAACATTGGGCAATGGGGGATGGACAAGAATTTCCACCAGCCTCTCTAGAAAGTACCTCTCTTCTTTTATATTCTAAAATAGAATGAGTGGTATCAGAGGGTTGAACATACATATTGTCTGCAGTAAAATCATAGCATATAAATGGATTGATAGACAGTAAGTTACTTGTCCCTCCCAAATAATTTGAAGTTGGACTCCAAACAAAATAATATCCTACTGCCCAAACTCTTCAGTAATTAGGGCATGTCTTCACCAGGTACATTTCTATTCAACAGAAACAAATACTGTACGTATGCATGCAATAAGAAATACCTAGAAAATATGTGACTAAATAATTCTTTTTTACCTATAACTCAAGATAACATGCTACTGGGTAACTGTATCATAAAACTGTCACTGAAGGGAAAAAGATGAAATGGACAATGTAAGTCTGAATATTACAGCAATGAATGAGCAACTGAACAATTTTGCAGGGAACAAGATGCCTTGTAATGGTATTTCTGCAAACAAAAATAAATGTGAAGTAATATTTCAGTAAATTCTATTGGAAAAATTTGCCAAATTATTGGCAAACATATTATCTGGGTCTTTCAGAAAGATACACGAGATAGGTAAGAGACTTGCAGGATTCTGATACCTAGGTACTTATTATGAGACACTGTCAGTTATTTTGGCTGAAAATATTGTTTAACCATAGGAATCCTAGTTTCAAAATCCCTGTTATACTTTAAGCAAAAGCCTCCTTCTAGTCCTGCCAGCTGTCAAATGGGCAAAATCCCTGTTTTCAAGAAACAAAGAAGAGAAAGTAGAGATATGGTGGAGTTGACAAAATGATTAGGAATTTTCAAATGCTTACAGCAGGATTTTGAGGAATGCATATGTAATTGTACCAACTGTCAAAGAGAAACACTGTAAAGGTTTCTACCTTTGAAAAAACAGCCTGCTACTCCTTGAGATTTTACCAGTCATTACCTGTGGAACTGTTCACCATGTTAGGTGCCAGGCTGTAAGGAGGTACTTGAGGGTTCATCAGGCTTGAGTTGCTGTTCATTGGTTGGGTGTAAGGAGAACTGGATCCCATAATGCCACTCTGATTGATGACAGGAAAACTGCCTTGCCTGAAGGAAGAGAAATGACACACACGTGCACAATCTCTTATTAAATTTCTTACTGCACAGTACATCTCAGTTAGTTACAAAATTCATACTTTAGTATTCACACATATCTACAGAAGATGCAGCCAGTTAGTTTTTGCCTGCGTAGGGCGCTTATCATTAGATTAGTAATGAACTTATTGTAAAGCCCATTCTAAAATTATATACCATGCAGATCCCTAAGCAAAATAGATGTAATATATGTTAATTTAAAATGGATAAATCCTAATACTATGTAAAGAAGTTGAGCTTGGATATGGCCAGCACATAGTGATGAAAGCACGTAAGAGAGAATAGAGTGCTCACTATTGAAATAACAAAAAAGAACTCAGGATAAGTTAGCTAAGAACTTTTGATTGTATTTTGCCTACCATACTAAAAAAAGAAGCTAAAATAGAATACAAAACATAAAGCAACTCTCCCAAAGCAAAACAAAAATACATAAATGGATTGAAACTCTACTACTCAGATATGCAATTAAGAAATGGACATTCATCTTATTTGTTTTAAAGCATTCATGATAATTGTAACTATTGTAATCACTTAGGACTATATAGCTGTATTAATGGATTGCTAATATCTCTGTGGTAAGCTAGTTAATAAAGGATCATAAGAGCTCTTTAGCAAAATCTAAAAAATATCATTCTGTTTTTTACTGAGTGTAGTACATCTTAACAGGGCTACCTTTTATGGGTGAGTAAACACAAGTATATATTCACATATATGTTAATGAATAAAATCTCAAATATAAAGGATTATATAGTCAGTATCCAGTTGCTGGACAGAAATATTCACCAGACACAGCAACAATCACAGAAATACCAGTCCTCTGGTTCTTCACACCAATATAATTATCCAGTTTATACGAGTTATTTTTGTGTATAAGAAAGCTTACATTCACCATTTAAAAAAATATAAATGCTTAAGACAAATGCAATTTTTTCACTGGGATTGAAAATACAGATTGAAGAAAGCCACAATATGGTTTGCCTGCTTGTAGTTTAGAGGGATTTTTAAAACAAATCATTGGGGTTAATAAGTATAACTTATGACTTAGCCAATTGTGGTTTATTAAAAAAAATACTGGTGTAATGTAAATTGTGAATTTATATATTTACTATATGTTTCTATATTCTATATGTTTTCTAAATCAAGGAAAGTCTTTCTCAGGTGAATTTGATGTGCTAGACCAGGGGTAGGGAGCCTTGGCTCTTTTATGACTCGTGGACTTCAACTCCCAAAATTCCTGAGCCAGCCATGCTGGCTCAGGAATTCTGGGAGTTGAAGTCCACAAGTCATAAAAGAGCCAAGGTTGCCTACCCCTGTGCTAGACATTTCATAGTTAGTAACCTAGTATTATTGATGGGTGTTGTGTTTAACCTTCAAAAGCTTTTATGAACTTCAGAAGCTGTATTCGGGTTTTTGTTGCAACTGAAGGATCAAAGAAAACAAGGATCAAGGAAGCTGAAGGAATATGGAAAATAATATTTTATTTATTATTTTTTATTAGTTTATTTATTTATTTTTATTAGTTTAATCACTAATATAAAGTATGAAAAAAGGACTCGTCAATACTATATTTTTAAATCATTTTATTGAAACAAGTGTGGAACATGTGGCATAATTAATGTTTTTTCCAAGTTGGCTTTGTCCTCTATTTCTGTAAAGAAGCAAAGGATTTCTTTTGATATGAAGGAGACAACTGACATGCAATGTTATTCCCCTGATGCAAGTTTTGATGTTATAGAGAAAAATATTTAAAATGCACAGCCATACATTTCTCTTTCCCTCCCCGCAAAAAAAAATTGGAGCAGGAGCATTTGCAAAAACTTTGGAAGATTTCTCTGAAATAAAATGTTCTTTGTGTACATATTATCAATACCTTTTAAAAGTTTTCTGAAAATAAGATTGAAGCTATTACATAATACACCAAATGGTACAAACTCTACTCTTCCTTGTAATAATAATCCTTATGTATTATGGAAATACATGTAGTATGTAAAAAAAGTCCCGAACAATCAACTCAAACTATACTAAAATACTCTGTTAAACATTTATTTATTTAAGTACACTATTTGAAAATTCCAATTTAAATGATAGTATGTCTCCTCAAAGTCAAAATCAGAGAGGTTACTAAGATGCTGCCAAAAGTAAATGCTTTGTGATTAGCTATATTTTTGGTTTGAATGAAATTAACCTCCAAGCATAACTATTTAAGTAAAAATAACTTGTTGGGAAAAAATAGTTTTGTCTCTTCTAGAAAATTATTACATCACCAACACAGAGAGGGCTCCGAGTGCCGCCTCTGGCATGCGTGCCATAGGTTCGCCACCACTGATCTAAGCTATCATGTGCAAGATGTGTCAAACATCTGTTGAAGCCAAAAGTATGACTAGATTAACACATAAAAAGCTAAAAATTAGAGGAAAATCTTGATTTAAAAATTATTGGACAATCTGACTATAACAATGGCTGATTTCCTAAGACTGAAAGATTTCTAGGTGTGTCTTTATCACTATTAAGCAGTAGTGGTTTGTACTATTTTAATTAACTAATTGACTAGATGACCTATATACCTCTTCTAATTTTTTTATTCTATGATTTCCAATTATTCAGATATATTAAATATAATTTAATGCAGTTTTTGTGCACCTCATATATAAAATTATGCCTATCTTTCTCATATAGCCAATGTATATAAATGCATATGTATATATAAAAAGGTTTTTTTTAACCTATGTGAATATTTCATGGAGGATACAGCTTTAGAAGACAGCTTCCAGAACTAATAAAGCAGAGAAATTGTATCTTTTCATTCTGATTCCATGACATTAGGTCTTTAAGTGGAATGATAACAGAATATGACAAATAGTTCTACATTCATTTTGCATGATCAAGTAGAGTCCATTAAGAAATAAACTGAAATTGTAAGATTTATTCTGATTAACCTTTGGGCACTAAACACTAGCAGCTTGCACAGCATTTGTTAAACATATTTATATATCCTTAAAGTCATAGAATCATTTGTGGTTACTAAAAGAAAGAAACGAAGGAAGAAAGAAAGAAAGGAAAAAGAAAATATGCTTCTGTCAGTACTGTTTACACTAAAGAGCTATTTGACCTGCTCTAACACATTTTCAGCTTTTCCCCAGCAATCTAAACTCCATTAAGGTGTGAGGCACAGTTAATATTAGTTGTTGAAGTGTTTTAAACCAATTTCTAAAACTGTTGTGGCATTTATGGATGAAAAACATCAACAGTGGAACAAATTCAATGTACCACAGGCAATATTGGAAAAGGTGTAAAATAATACCTTGGTTACATTTAAGGTAGTTATAGTATTTTTAGTAACTAAATCAAAAGTTTAACTTTAGCTCAGATAGTGCCAAAGCTAGCCCTCTGAATAAATCATGGACTTCTTTCTACTTCAAATCTGAGGGTATCTGAAATAATTTTGTCATGGTCACCTCTAGAACTATGTCTGAATTTTACTGTTTTAAATTAATGTTTATTTAAACCAGACATGTCAAACATGCGACGTCACGTGATGTTGCGCAATGTATCGGGACGGTTTTGCCATTGTTGGCAATGGGGTGGGCGTGGCTTTCGCATGACGCGTCCGACCTGTGGGCCGGCAGTTTGACACCCCCGATTTAAACTAACCCCTCTTAACTGAAAAGTATGTTCTAAACTCGACAATAAGATATTACTGTCACATTATTATATGAAATCTCTTACTACTGTATAACAGAATTTTTCAAGATTAGTAAAACTAAAGGAGAAAAAAACCTGTTTTAATATTATGCCCAGAAATTTTTTTATATCTAATCATTAACATTTATTTTTATTTCCTCTCTTCATTTCCTGTAATAAATGAATTTCATTCCTGCAAAACAAAAATTCATGTTGATGTGGAGAAAAGCTATCTAGGTGCTGAAAATCCCTCTGGAGACATTCAGTAATAGAGGCAACCCAAAAAGGGGAAGAGTTTTTTCCAGTCAAATCTGCTGAGGTGAGGAAATTACAACTTAATATGCTAATGCTTGTACATGGAGTCTTCTCTTACATGGTCTTTTTAATTAACGTTTTCTCAAACATAAGCAATTTTTTTAAAAAAGTGTTTACATGTAATATTGTATGTAATGAGTCTATGAACTCTAGATGGTTGCTAATCTACCTATTAAAACAGGCAAAGATGACCAGAAATTTAGCCATTTTTCGGAAGTAACTTTATGAAACAAGGTGCAGACAAATCTAAGGAAATTTCAGAAGGTCAAAATTAAAATGCAAGAGACCGACATTGCTTATTTTCTCTTGCTTGTTTAGTACAAGCCATGTTGATATAACTGATCTTCAAACTTCTTGGAAGCTACAAGTTGACTCCCATGTCTGCTACATTTTAAAATGACAATTTGAATTAAACATTTTAAGCAGGGATATTTTGTAAAATACTGACAAACAATAAGCCTAGGTCCTTGATTACCAACCATGAAAATGCCTACTGGAGACACACACAAATCAGCACACTGACCAAACTGCCCTATGCTATATCTATGCTGTATCTGCAACATGACAATATTTCTCTTTCCTTTTAAATGTCAAAGTATGATTTGAAGGTTGTTATTTAAACACAGTGACCTGTACAATAACCAGATGTACTTCATTTAAATCTGTGTGGAGCGAGGTCTAGCAATAAAAGGCTTCTAATCTGTCAAACCCTGACATCAAATGGGTTATTATAATGAGAGTAATTCAGAGGTGAGATCTGAAAACATATTTTCCTGCTGGGATTTTCTTACAGTCTCTCATATGTATAATTTTGTTGCAGCTTTTCTTCCCTGACACAGTATGAATTTTCTAAAATCAGACTGTTACCAACTAGTAGAGTACAATAGGTTGCAAGTTTGTGTGTGTGTGAGAGAGGAAGGAATGAAGGGAGGAAGGGAGGGAAGGGAGGGTGTGTA